CTCCTCATTTCCTCCCCCTGCTCATCGTTGATGCCCCCCTCTCCCACCTCTCCTCATTTCCTCCCCCTGCTCATCGTTGATGACCCCCTCTCCCACCTCTCCTCATTTCCTCCCCCTGCTCACCGTTGATGACCCCCTCCCCCTCTCCCACCTCTCCTCGTCTCCTCCCCCTGCTCACCGTTGATGACGTCCTGCCGCTTCACCTCCTTCGGCTTCATCTTCTTGACGACGTCCTTTGCGATGTCCTGCTTCCAGTTGGGCGGGTCGGCGATCGCCTCCAGGTCGGAGTCGGACTCCTCCTGCACGGCTCCCATCGCCAGCTGCGCCGCGTCGCCGGCAGACGCCGTCTTGTGCATCGTCTCCAGCGACGTGCTTGGACTGTCCAGGCTCCTGCAAGATCGTCGCCATAGTTACGAGCGGACAGGGTTCTTATTATCTGATATATTATATATATATTATAGCTCTTGCTATGACTAAGGTGCGTCTCTAGCAAGCTCGACCCGTTCGTACTACGATTGTACTACGCCCAACACGCTCAGACCACGCCGTTCTGGCACACATGCACGCACACACACACAAACGCACGCACGCACCCACGGCCGCACACACACACCCACCTCCCCCCCCCCACATACTACCCTACACACACACACGGCTACTCGCCTCATGGACAGGCTGGACGTTGAGGAGCTGCCGGACATGGCGACGTGGTCGACCTCCGCGTCACTCGCCGCCTGCGTCAGCGCAGGGTCGCTCTTCTTGCGCACGCTCGGCCGCATCAGCTCCTTGCGCGACTTGAGGCTCTCCGAGCGCATGAGGTTGGCCGGCTGCGGCGGCGCGCCGGGCTGCGCCGTCACGCGCAGGCCCCTGCGAACAGGCAGCAGTTCACTTTGAGTTTTGCGGTGGCCTCTGAAACGAGAGCAGGTCGAAAAGGGTCGGAACGAGGCATGCAGGTGGCGCCGCCGAGGCAGCGAGGGAGAGAATACCGAGCAGAAGTGATGAGATACGCTGACGATTGCGACAAGCTGTTATAAAGGGATATATGGATTGTGATGATCCTTATTAAATAATGATATATATAGCGTCCTTATGACTTATAGATGACCTACGGATAGCCTACGTCTATCTATTCAACAACGATAATCTATGGATAAAGAAAAGTTGCTTTAAATAAGTGCAGTCTTTTTTGGTGGGGATGGCCTATAGATTTAAAGCCCTGTTCTAATGCAAATCAAGTGGAGCTGTCCTGGTCTCTCTTACACAGCGTGTATATAATAACAATGATGGGCAAGCTTACATTTTTAGTTTACTTAAAGCCGCACAATGCGCATCCAAACGCTAATTTCTCCAGTACTAGACTAGCAAATACTTAGGTGTGAGCACGTACTTGTGGCTGTGTATTTGGCGATGTTGTCGAGCAGCAGCGGGTACTTGGTGAGACGCTGCATGCCCGTCGGGATCAGATCCTTCAGCTGCAGCCTCCGGCACAACGTGTTGCTCTCGGCTTCCTGCAAATGTCAAATTACACCGTGCAGTACGGGGGAGTGACCGCTACCACCTTCTTTCGGTAAATAATACGCAAACAATCATGCGTATCATAATCGTAAATTCTATCGAGTATATTATCAAAGTTAAGGTATCAAATTATTATCGAATTATCGAGTTCTATCGAAGTAAGTAATATTGAATGCAAGGTTGGAAAACGTTTATGTCAGCTACACGACTACAAGATCATGACACGTACGCAAATTGTACAATACAATTTTGTAATAAGGTCAGGGATTCTCTTGGATTCTCATTTTCATTAGAACTTCAAATATATTTATCCTACGAGGATAACAGCATGACGGCAGTCACGAACCAAGGCAACGACTCGTTCCTCGGTAACTTACGGCTATGAACTGCGCCACTTTCTTGTCGGACCGCATCTTGGCCTTGAGTTGGTCAAGGGCTATGGACTGGTTCATGCAAAACGTTGCACCAGCTTTCTTGAACTTATCCCCAGCCTCACCCTCGAACTTAAACAGCAAGTCAGAGTATCATATTAAATAATTACATAAGGACAGCATTGATGTGAATATAACCACAGTTCAGTTAAGTATTCTATGTTGATTTTCGTTGATGTTCATGCTTTATGTCTGCTGCCTACATATATACAGTCTATGTGATATTGGTTGCAAAATAATGACATTATATAAGACACAATGAATGACAAAAAGAGCATATGGGTCTTTTATTACTCTCTCTAATTATTCCTGAGCAATTTTAGCTTTATTTGTGGCTGAGAACTGTATAGAACCTTTAAGAGTGCCTAACGGATTTTCACCCCATCTACGTTTATTCACAGTGATGCCAATAGAATAACTTACTAATGAAAGCATCAATTCGCCTACGTCCTGGACCACAGGCTCCTCCTTCTTCTTTGCCTTCATGGCAGTATTAAAGGAACCTGCCAATTAACAACGTACGTGTGATTAAACTCTTCACTAACTAAACATGAGCATTCAAGCTACTTCAACACACCAGCATTCATTCAGGGATCAGTCACACTGCAGTGAATCCTGTATGAAAGGCTCACTTGAGGGAATTGCCAACCGTATTCTTTAGAGACACTAGGCCATCCTTAAAAAATTCTATGTTTGCTGTCCCCCAACCCATGATTTTTTTAGTGGGCAGGTAGGTAGGTCTTTTTTGTGAGGCATAATAGTTATTTTAAGTCTGTCCTCATGTTTGCCACACACGCTTTGTGTTTCAGTCTTAACTATGAGAAATGTAAAAAAAAGAAAAAGAAAAAGGAACCCAAAATGTAAAAAAAAACTTGGGTCGCGGCTATTTTCGTGGGTCGGTCGGAGGACAGCAAACATATAATTGATGGCCCAGATGTCCATTCTCTAGATGTCGTTTCAGTGTACAACTGCCCTTAAAACCAAAATTCTACTTTACCGCTAGGTGGCCGCTAACAGATTTAACTGTATTTCAATCGGGCAGCTGCTCATAACTGATACATACGGGGTGCTATTGCACATTAACCTAGTGTGGGCGCCTCACGTAACTAACACCAACAAAGAGGGCTGTCATATATCTGTCGAAACTGCATGACGACGTTTTGCGGTAGAGATCGAGGGTTTGAGGGCCGTGTGGAGACCGCGTGGGCTGTCACATATCTGTCGAAAACACCGCGCCAGGCACTGCATGACGACGTTAGAGACCGAGGTAAACCACGGTAGAGATCGAGGGTTTGAGGGACGTGTGGAGACCGCGCCGCGCCGGACTGTCGCGCCACACTCACCGTGTAGCTCTAGCATCTCCTCCAGGTTGGGGAAGAGCAGGTGAACGAGGTCGTTGGGAACGACGTTGTCCTCCAGCATCGGCCGGTAGAAGACTCGCAGCAGCACCTTCAGGGTTCTCACGTGCGTGCGCTCCGTGTGGAAAAGTTCTGTAACGAACGACGGTAGGCCGTCAATGTTACACTCGACTCCATGCACACGTGCAGTCAACTTATACACGAGATGAGAACTCCCCCTGCACGCTCACTCTTCACGACTGACTGACCACATGTTCGTGTAAACAGTGAGCATGCGTGGCGGGAGAGGAGGGTTTGGGCGTCGTATGTGAGCGTGCGTGCGGGAGAGGAGACGGAAGAGGGGGGGGTAGACGTAGAAGGGGGAGGGGGAGGAGAAGGAGGGAAAGGGGAGGAAAGGGGAGGGTCGGTTGTTCAACGGTGAGCAAGCAATGGGAGAGGAGAAGGAAGGGCCTACTGGAGAGTGGGCGAGGGGTGTTGGTTGGCCAATGATGAGCATGCAGGAGGGAGGAGGGGGAGAAGGCGTGTGGGAGGCCCGAGGTCAGTCATTTAATTGTGGAGATGTGCAGTGGGAGGAGAGGGAGAGGGCGGGAGGGGGCTCGGGTCGTCGACGGTGAGCGTGAATGCGGGGAAGGGGAGG